TAGTACCATGAGCATCTTCCACAGACTAAAAGTGACTTCTACTTAAATAGTTAAGCTTATTTATTATACATTGCTGAGCATACACTGCTTATAGGATGCCTAATAGCTTGCTATCCACACCATCATTACCCACTAAGGCTTGGTTGAGGCTGATAATATGAAGCTAATGGCTCACATTTATACTTCAGGCAAAGATTAGATTACTAGACATGCTGAGAACATTCTTTATTATGTAAATTTATATATACTTTATTAAGTAGATTTACCTATGCATGCTGCTTAGACAGGTGAACCAGTAACAAGCAGAGAGCTCATTAGAAATACTCTTCTAGCAAATGTACTCATCTTCTCCATATAATAGCTATTCAACTAGACTGTTAGCAGCCTCCTATAGACCCTATTAATTTCAGAGGGCTGGATGCACGCATTTCCTTCAGTGCATTACTCACAGGTCAACACATATCAATGCTAATTCAGACCTGTATGTTTAAATAACAATAAATAGTCTTTATCTTTAAGGAACCATTATAGCTTGTTAAACCCATTACTCACTTTCTGCTCTGAGCGCTGACTTATATGATTGAACTGCTTAAGAATAAGTATCCCCACTGGGGACATTATTCCAGGAGAATAGCCCTTTAATAAATAATGCTGCATAATTAGCTTAACATGACTAGTTTACTTAATTCAAAGTACCTACTAAGTGTGAAGTGACTAATCCCTGGTCTAGGCACTCACCAAGCACAACTCCTATTAAAGGTAACAGTCTAGGGTTTTACATACTCACCAGTTAATGTGTCAAAGAACTTTATGGTGGTTGTGCATTAGGGATCCCAATGGGGATAGGAGCCAACATTAGGGGATTCACTAGTTATGCATAGTTAGGAACACTTAGTATTAAACCCTATTAGTAGCTTTGGCCCTCATGGTTGCACCTTCATTCTATAGAATACTGACCTAAGTGCCAAAACTAAACAGCTTTAGTCTAATACTTATTCTAAATCAGTCTATGTTGATTGCATGTGCAATTGCAAAATAGACCATATTATTAGATTCTCAAAAGATCAAAGAGAGACCCTGTATCCAAAAAAAAGGTATCTCATGCTTTACCAGGATCGCGTTAAACATGCTAATAGGGCACAAGCGTCCTTGTATTAACTTGGAATTTCAATGCTATAAATAACTTGAGTGGAGCCGAAAATCTGACTTATTATCCAGACCCCTGCCTCTTAGTCATAGCCTTTATACATAGAGGGCATGTAGGCACCACTATAAATTATGGGATACCTTACCATGGGCAAACATTACAGTGGAGTGTCCCATAAGGCTGAAAATCATTTGAAGTCTAGAGCAGTGCCAGAGCTCACTAACAGGAATTACCAGAAAATTACTATTTACAAGCCCTCATGACAGTGTATAGCATCAATAGTTGTCCCTGTGGTTCTTTGATGCTCAGGAGCCGCTAATTCATTTATATATATAGACTAGGTAGTTAGTCCTCCTTTAGTAACTTTCTAGGTATGAATCAATGGCCCTTATCTTATTTATTATAATGTCACTATTAACAACATCCCTCACTCAAAACTGTATATAGTAGGTGTAATTAACTTTAAGTTTAGCTCTACACCATCCTCTCCTATAGTACCGTGTTAGGCCGGTATTCACAGTACTTCTACTCACCTATGGTAGTATGATTTTCAATTTAGCATGTTTCAACCTTGGTCAGTGGATACTCTTAGAAAATTCATATATTCACTCTTTAACCCTCAGAACTGCTTCCACCTTCCCAGAGAAAAGAGCTGTAACTGTACAGAATTTTAAAGAAGGACAGTTTGGTTAGCCTGAGCACGCAGTGCCACACACCCAATATTTAACTTAAGGTTATACTATAAACAGTTAGTTTATATATCCTATTCACTCACTGCCGCGTAAAATTCTCTCACAAGCAGGTGAGGCTATAGTATGGTATAGACTACTTTAATAGAGCATCTCACAGGAAAATGTCAAACTACTAATTGGTAAGGAAGGCTACAAAGGTATGTCTTTGACTTTAGCTGACCACTAATATGAGTAAGATGATAGGTGCCAGAGCATAGTAGCCCCAGTTTCTCCAGGCTTAGATAGTCACCTCTACTTTAATATTAATAGATGTTCAGGCCCTAATGGCATTCTCAGAACTATATTTATATGTCTTTAACAAAGCTAAACTCAGTCAAGCTTAAGTGGAATCTCATCTCCAAGGCCCTTATATAGTAATTATACTCTAAAATGGTTTATGCAGCCCCTGGCTGAAAGGTAAAGCCTGTCACTCAACTATATATATATCTAGAAAGCCTGGACGCTGTTTTCCATGGCTAATCTAACCTTTCGCCCTTGATGACATACAGTGGTCATGGTGTATTGTTCTGTCATAGTAATTTATGGCACAGCCACAGCCCAATACTTACTAGCTGTTATGAAACTATTAAACAACATATGCTGACTTCTGACAAGACAATATATAACAACCTGTAAGTGATATATATGCCTTACCATTATCACCTCTCTTATTTAGTTATCTAGTTTTTGTTTCATCATTTCTTCTTATCCCTGACTGAAATAAATAAAAGGATATGAATTAGTTTTCACAGGCTGCAATGTCGCTCGCATTTCTGTCCAGCCAAGGCACATTTATTGCATAGCTCAGGATGTTAAGTTGATGCAGCCTGTAATGGATTATAAGTTATGTTAATCTTATAGTGCAACTAGCAGTTTACTATTGACAACTAAGTATCTCCTGTGAGTGACACATATTATATTAAGTTCCTCTTAACAGTTAAGCCTACTTTTCAGCGCCAGTAAGGCATTTATATATTTAAAGAATAACTCTTTCTCTCTCTTTTGCTGTTAAGAACTGAACCAACACTACTTCCTTAGGTATAGCTCTGATGATATTTGGTCAAAGCCCCTATTATTAACACCTAGTATTACCAAAATTTCATGCAGGGCTATATTTCTAGCACCTACTATATAGCGCATCGGAATCCCTAGTGACTGTGTATCTCTTCTAACCAGCAAGCCAACCCCACCTACGCAAAAGTAGAGTCATTTAAGAACATCTGTTCGCAATCCTCAGTTACTCAGGGTCAGCATACTAGATGAGATATTAAAGACAGCCTGTGTACCTCTATAATTTTGTGAATGCTTTATGTGCGAGGGAGCTGAGCAAGAGCCTAGGGCTGAGGTAAGACTAAGGAGGGTAAAAAAGTTATTATAACCCTTTAATAGCTTAAGGTCATGCCCTTATTTAGAGGATCTAGCTTGAGTATATAGCTTTGCTTATATGTACCTTATAGACTAAGCCAGAAAAAAACATCCCATTAGACCTTAAAAGGAACTTATATATTTCTCTGTGGTCAGTAGTATATTTCACTTTGAATCACCTATAGGGGTATAGTACAGTTTCCTATTTATCTTATATAAGCTTACTTAATAAATATCCTCACTACATAGAGTAGTGTACTTATGTGTGAAGTAGTGGAGGAAGAGCTAAGGACTATAGAGTTATTATAATCCTTTAATAGACTATGGTTATGCCCTTGCTTCTAATATCCTACTTAACTTACATAGCTCTAGTCACATGTATAGTATCTTAATGCACCTGATTAGGTCAAAGAATATCTTAATGAACTTTGAAAGGGACTCATGGGTCTTTCTAGAGGCATAGTATATATAGGATCTAGTATATACCATATACCTATCTAACTTACTAGCTATGAAGGCCTCCTATCTCAGCTTACTAGCCTGGTAATGTACATCCTAAGCTATATTTCAAAGGCCTAATTACTAAGTCCCTACTAATATATCTTTACTTCTATAGCATATTAGCAATAATAATATTCTACATCATGTCTTCTGAATGTTTTGTTATATATTCTTCTTATTTCTATCAGGACCTGAATGATGCTGTGGTAAGCATCTATTCTAAGGTCTTGCTGAAATTAAGGCCCTGGGGGTACTACCCTATCTGTGAGATGCTTAAGAGTTAAGTATGCATCATGTTGGCCTTTGTCACCCTGAAGCATAGGCAGGATGAGGTTTCTTTTATCTATGAAAGTTAATATCTCTCTATATTATAATGTAGTGTGTAGTAATATTTATTATAGCACATTATAGCATAATAAGCTTATGTAATTTAAGGTCATTTTTTTGAGTCAGCACTATTCCTTAATATTATAAGTGAATAAAAAATATTGTAGACCCCTTCTACATCATTAGGACTGTGAAAACTATGCCCCCTAAAAAGGGAGGATTGTGAATGGATATGGCTAGGCTTAGTGTAATAACTTTTATTTAGCTATCATGTGGTGCTCAGGGGTGAATAATCAAACTACTCTGGACTAGTTTAGGCAAGGATCAGTGAGCATCTGGGAGTATCTGGAGTGCTCTGGGACTGCTCAGGGAGCAATCAGGGCACGCACTTTCTCTCTCTGGTCACGATCTGGCTGGCTCAGTGAGCAAAAAGCGGCGGCACATCGGACCGAATCTGGAAATGGAAAGTCGCTCAGTTTCCGCAGAAAAACAGTTCAGTAGTGTCACTATTCATTTGAACAACTTCTACTCTACACGCACTGTATAACGATGGATGAACGTCCACCTCTGCCAGTGCGCTGCAGCATCACAGACCTACCTCCTGAGATTATTCTGGGCATACTTTCCACGCTGGCGGATTTAGAGAGCCTTTTATCGACAATACAATCCTGTCGGTACCTCTACACACACACACACACACACACACACACACACAATTCATTAACGCCCGGCGGCTAAGCCGAAAGGGCAACTATCACTGATCTATCAATACAGGTCCTGCTGTACATATGCCGTATCTCCTTCGAGCCCATAAATTCCGTAACAAGATGTAAGCTCTAGCTCACCCCTTCCAGGCCGTGGCAGCCAAGCTTGGCTCCTCCGTCCTTAAGGCCGACGCATCATACCTCCTGATCGGAGGCACTGGTGGCCTAGGCCGGAGCATAGCTAGATTGATGTCGTCGAAGGGCGCGCGTAACATCGTGCTCGTGCCCCGCAGCGTATCCATCAATCACAAGATCCAAGATCTGATCGATGAGCTCGCCGCCCATGTCACGGCCATCAGCGTCAAGCCCTGCGACGTAAGCAGAATGGAATCTGTCGACAACCTCATCAGCCAAGAGTTAAAGGGTCTTCCACCAGTCCGCGGTGTCGTGCACGGCGCCATGGTCCTCCGCGACATGCTCTTCGAGAACATGACCCTCGACGACTTCCAAGCCGTCGCATCCTGCAAAGTCGAGGGAGCCTGGAACCTGCACCACGTACTGCATGATACACCCCTCGACTTCTCCGTCGCGCTTTCCTCCGTCGCCGGCATCATCGGGAACCGCGGACAAGCCGCCTACGCTGCCGCCAACGTCTTCCTTGACGGCTTCAAGGAATACCGCCGGTCTGAGCAGTCGATTTCCCCCAAAGCGTGAATTGATGGTTTCCAATTGGTAGTCTCGGTGGAGATGGCCTCGCTCAAATTGTTAGCACTGCCAGTCGGGCTTGCCATACTGCATGATCAACAGCTCTTTGATGTGGATGCCATTGACACCATCGACGATTCCATTGCCATTAATGTGCCCCTTCTCCCCCTGAGCTATATGGTCGCTAGCATGGCCATTGGTAAGTTCACCATTGACGACGCGTCTATCGGTGGGCTCTCCATTGCTATTGTGGCCCTTGGTAAGGGCATTGGGCTCCATAGCGTGACCGTTCATATAGCCGATAGGCTCCTGGCGTTCTTCTCCAAAAATAGCCTTAGCGTCGGCCAGAGGTTGCCATTCCCTTTTGTAGCACATGTCGACGACGTTTCCACCGCCGTCTGCATTGGAATCCTTCATGGGAGTCATAACGAGTCCCTCCACGTTAATCAGGGCCTCAGTGGAATCTTGGGATGTCAACCACAAGTCAAACTTGGTGGGCTGGGGAGTAGGCAGACTGGGGCCACCAACACACCAGGCTTTAACAAAGTCCCCCGGGGTAGTAGGAATGTTGGCGCTGATAATCAGGCTCCTGATCATGGTAGGCATGTAAAGAGTCTAGAGCTCCATGCGACCTTTACCCAGAATGGGCCAGACAATGTGCAGCAGCGCATCCAGAAAGATGGGGTGGATGCTAAGGGGAGCTTCATACTCCTTATACATGGCCTTTTTCGTGTCACGGATGTACAGATCTGCACGTGAATGGTGCGGGTCAGAGAAGCAGTTGTCCAAGCCCTGAAAGCATGCTCCGTAGCCGGCTCCGACCTCGGAAAGAACCCGGTACATGTTCTGTGTATCTACCTTATAGGTAGCGGCAGTCATCACCTTCTTCGTCCGAACAATCATGTGCTTCAGCTCGGTCTCGGCGATGTTGGAGACTGTGGTCTGCTGCTTCTCATTGGTGCGGACCTGAACGAGTCCCGTGCAGTGCTCAGTCCAGGCACGCTTGGTGTTCTATGAGCAGATGCGAAACTCATCCCAGATATCGGAATTGCGACGGGTACCCTCAGCGTATGGCCGGAGGGTGATGACTGTCTCTGTGTCGACATCATCGGTCAACACCAGGGCTGCACCCACTTTCACCTCACGGAACTTGAATTGGGAGACTGTGGCCTCGCGCTGCTCCGCGCGTCTCTTTGCTGCTTCGATGGCCATAGCCAAGTAGCCAGCCAATGGATACACAGTCACACCCTGCATCTTGTGCTCCCGAAGCCAGGGCACATCGTCGTGTCGCGTCTCAGATATCGACGTATGGCCGCAGATCGCGTCCTCTACCAGTCTCCTCTGCTCTCCACGCGGCTCTCGAACAGAACGATGGCTAGACTTTGCCTTGTTTGGTCTTCGCAGTTATCAACGACGTAGGACCGCATCCATCACGTATCTTCCCTGACTTCTCTACCAATGCATTACGAGCCACCCTGGCGTACCTACAAAACGAGCAGGTTGAACCTGGGGTTCATGATACTCCAGTTGATTCTGTATCATTTTTTCTTTTTTTGGGGTGGGTTGGCAGGGAGACAAGTTCCTTAACGTTTTGTCACATGTGGATCTTCACAATTTGCTATGGAATGTTCATATTCTGGTCGCGCTCTGCAAAAATAATTCCATCATGCCGCGGACCACTTGCCTTGCAAAAACTAGAGGGAATTCACAGGTCCTTGCTTTATGTCAACTACTCTACGGGTCGCCTTAACGGATTTGGTACGAAGTACAAGCAAACCAAACAGTCATTGCAATATAGGCACACTCAAAGAGAAAAACTTCTTGACAGCTCGCTCCTTTTGCTCGGGATCAATTCCTCAAAATTGATCGGCAACTAGGGATTTCGGCACCAGGTCTGTAAGCTTTTGGCGGCCTAAGAAATTCCCGGAATCGAGCCAACTGCCAATCGACTATTTGAAAGTCCCTTTGTTTCCCATCTTCGGCCAGCGGGATCCCCGGAATCTTCTTCATGACGAGATACTCAGCGCCCACTGGGTTCGCTGGATCCGAACACCAAGCTACATCCGGAACACGGATTGAATTTATACAATCGCACTAAACAGCATGTAAGTTTACACGGACGTCGAGAACAACAAGAAAGCATAATACAGAGCCACCTCGCCCATTATTAGAAGTATCCCAACCACACCTAGTGCAACCTCAATGGCAAGAGCCTCTAGGATGACCTTAACAAAGCGAGTGCGAGCAGGCTGATCAAAGGTGGTCCAGGCATCTCTAAGGCCAAGCTTGCCACTACCACCCGCAATTCCGGATTTCAGCTTGCCGCCAAAATGGCGGTCAAAGGGCACGACCGGGTCATCCTCGTCGGGCAGCATAGAGGCGGCCACACGAGTGAATATTCCCCTGGCGGGAATCGAAGCCAGTGGGAGAAATACAGCCGGGAGAATATAAATGGCTAGGAAACGGAGGAACCCTTTATATCCCTGATCGGTGACAACGGCTACGGGGCTCCAGCCAGCGCCAGCGGGCCCTGCAGCAACTATAGGCAGAGAGAAAGGCGCACACCTTAGGAAATTGTACAAAGTAGCCGCAGGGGCAATTCTAGGCCAATGCCGGAGGCCAAGCATTCGCCGGGAGGAGCTCCTAAGAGCTTTGTCGGCGATCACACGATGAACCCAAGCCGTCTGCCAAGTGGCCAAGAGCATGCTAGCGATGAACTGTCCAAAAAATGAACTGAAAAATGAAAAGGAGACAGAGTGGTCCGCAGTAACAACAACAGCTTGAATTAGAAGACCCGCGCCCAGATTGGTGAGTCCCGTGAAGGCCAGATACATACGAAATCCACGGAAGGACGACCAGATGCCATCACGCGCGAGTAGGTGCTTAATGGCCGAGCGCAGCCCGCTAGTGATAGGCTTAGTGGTTGATGCAGCTGTGCTCTCGGGATCATTAGGGTCGAAGGTATCGTTAGTATCTTCTCTGTCGAGGCAAACATAGGTCTTCGGGTTGGAGTCTTCGACCGCGGCCAGAGTCGCAATAACATTGACGCAGGTGTAGTCAACCTATCGATGAGTTTAGATAGTTGCTGTTCCTCATACTAAGCCGACTCACCCAAAAGATTGCGAAACTAAATGCAACGGCCGTAAAAATGACAATTAAGCCGAATAGCAATCCATATAGCAATCCATCCATTCGAGACTGTCCACGCTCTCGAAGCCGAGCGGAAATCAACTCGGTGCCCCGGCGTATAAGAACACTGCTAACAGATGACATGATGTTTGACTGAAGGAAATAATTGAAGAAAATTTGAAGGGGAAGAAGCAGGGCCGAATTTCTGAGTCAGAGTTGTACCAAAGAGACTATACCAGGTGAATTTCCCGTGAAATGAAGTATCAACGAATCAGAGGCTGGAGAAAGGGAAATCAATGAATCGACCACAAGCAGGTCGTGATATGAGGAGGGGTGCGGACATAGGAAAGTTCTGTTTTCAGACACTGTACGGCGGACTGAATGTACAAACCGGCCAAAATAAATTTTTACCATTGATACCTCCAGCCACGCCACTTCCCGCGCGGCCACGCACCACCTAGTTAGTAATCACATGGAGTAACGTAATTCCCAACCGAGCCGCCCACCCGGGCGAGCCGCCCACCCCTCCCGATTTCGACGCGTTTGAATCTTGAATCTATCTAAACAGCTACCATGCCACCAAAATCGCGTCAAACCTCTGGGAATTTAGTGGAACAAGAGGGAAGGATCTAATTAGTAATATCTGCTTTGAAAAAAGGGCAAATTTCAAGTATTTGTCGCGCTGCAAAGACATTTGATGTGCCTAAATCTACCCTCTGTGGCCGCCTGAATGGATGCTAATATCGAATCGAACAACGCGCCAATGGCCACCGACTATCTTCTACACAGGAAGAATCATTATAGAATGGATACTATCTAGGGATCAACGTGGAGTGCCCCTAGGCCATCTCATGTGCAAGAAATGGTGAATATCCTTCTCCAAGCCGATAATCCATCTGGATTCAAACCTGTTGGCAAGAACTGGGTGTCTACCTTTATCAATCAACGTGAGGAGATTAAAACATGATATGCTTGATGATATAATTATAGCTGTGCTTAATGTGAGAATCTAAAGATCATTAAGGGGTGGTTTAATTGCCTACAACAGATCCAAATGCAATATGGCATCTCCTATAAAGATATCTATAATTTTAATGAAACTAGCTTCACTATGGGCTTAATTGCAACTACTAAGGTAGTTATAAGGGCTAATATGCCTGGGAAGCCTCACCTTATTCAGCCAGGCAATCAGGAATAGGTTACAACAATTAAATGCGTCAATACTACTGGCCGGGTGATTCCATCTTGTATAATCTTCAAGGGGAAGGTTCATATTAAGGGATGGTATCAAGATCGCACCTTACCATCTGACTGGAGAATTAAAGTCAGTCAAAATGGATAGATAACAGATGAGATAGGCCTTTAATGGCTTCAAAAGGTCTTTATCCCTGCAACAACTAGCTGTACAGTTAGAAGATATCATCTACTTATTCTAGATGGCCACAGGAGCCATCTAACGCCTGGTTTTAATAAGGCCTGCAGGGATAATAATATTATCACTATCTGTATGCCTCCTCATTCTTCCCATCTCTTATAACCACTAGATGTTGGTTGTTTTGGCCCTTTAAAACATGCTTACAGACGCACTGTTAAGGAAAAGATATGCTTAGGATACAATCATATTAATAAGTTTGACTTCCTTAAAGCATATCCAGCAGCTCATCTAGAGGTTTTTAAGCCTCTAAATATTTAGAATGGCTTTGCTGCAGCTAGAATCTATCCATTTAATCCAACAAGGATGCTTGAGAAGCTAAATATCTGCATATCCACCCCTACCCCCCTCTAAGCTGTGCAAGTTAATCAACCAGTTCATCATGGCTTAGAACGCCTCATACACTTCAGCAATTACACAAGCAAGCATCCTCAGTCAAGAAGCTCCTAAAACAGCAATCCCAAAGCCCTTCACAAATAGCTATACAGCAACTTATTAAGGGCTGCGAGATGGCCATGCACAGTGCAGCCCTACTAGCAAAGGAGAATCATGATCTACGCGCAGCTAATGAGAAAGAGAAGCAGAAAAGGAAGCTATCTAGACACCAGATGACTCCTAATGAAAGACTCTGCATTCAGGAAGCTAGGGATCTTATCCAGGCAAGAAATGAGCAAGGGAATGAGATTGGGGGGTCATCTATTGATTCCGCGCCTTTACCTAGACTGGCTGACCCAATCCGCAAATCCATATCCAACCCACCCAATCCGCACTTTGGGTTGGATGGGGGTTGACTCTGATCCAACCCATATCCATATGGGTGGATGGCATCCTACCCATATGGATATGGGTAACCTATTAGGTGCATATAACTGGCAGAATGGCAGATATTCATAATATTCTCTTAAAGAGAGGTCTTTCTACCTACTAAAAGTAGTATGATCTAGATTCTTAGGACTTTCCGCCTACCAAAAGTAGTATAGTCTAAAATCATGTGTATAATATGGGTAGAATGGTTATCCACAACCCAACCGACATGGATATGAGGGTGGGTTAGATAGGTAGTAGATCAACCCAAAACCCATGCAGGTTGGATTGAACCCCCTGCAGATCCATCCAAACCCAACCCACGACCAGTCTACTTTTTATTATTATTATAAGAGCTAGGGCTATGATTACTTCTACTATAGTTACCCCTATTACTATTATTATTATTATTAGCTGTATTATCATTATTATTAGAGCTAGGGCTATAACTACTACTACTATAGTCACCCCTATTACTATTATAGTGAGAGCTAGGGCTATGACTACTACTACTATAGTTACCCTATTACTATTATTATTATTATCACCCCTATTACTATTATTATAAGAGCTAGGGCTATAACTACTACTACTATAGTTACCCCATTGCTATTATTATTATTAGTCTTATTATCATCATTATAGTAAGAGCTGGGGCTATAACCCCTATTACTAGGGCTGGGTGTAAAGGATTAAGGTATATAGGTGCGATCCGGTTGATCAGATCCGTTAGGATCTGGTCATAATGGCCTTTTGGCTGAGTTGGTAGTGGGTTGGACTGGACACCCATCTATTACAATATGACCAGATCCTAACGGGTTAGATAATAGGCTTTGGGTTTGAATCCAGCTGGAGATAGATTAATTTTCTGGTTCCCAGTCCCTACTAAGGTCGTGGAGATATGTAGGACTGTGGTATGGAATGTAGGGATGGTGATCCCTACTAGTTGCGCTACTGGATTTAACTGCCACCTACTAGCTCACAGGATGACTAAGACTAGGGGCCCTGAATATAGTAGGGACCCTTAGTGCCTCTTAGGACATACCTGGGGGCCCCCACCTATCTATTCCTAGTTCCTTACAGCTTATCTAAGGCCCGAGGGCGTGCCTCAGAGAGAGGGGGTATAGTTGTAAAGGATTAAGGTATATAGGTGCGATCCGGTTGATCAGATCCGTTAGGATCTGGTCATAATGGCCTTTTTGCTGAGTTGGTAGTGGGTTGGACTGGACACCCATCTATTACACTGGGGCTATCTCTACCACTATCTAAACCTAAGTATTGAAGCCTTCTATAATCTCTAGACTAGAGCACCAAAGCTTATGCTAATCCAAGATGTTAGGATGTTAGGACTTGCTGGAATTCCACCTTCTTAATGCTCTAAAGAGCAAAGAAACTGCAGCCAATCTTTGATCAGTTCTGCTCACAAAATGGCCATGATCACTTAATGCTTGACTAAGAAGAATGGCGCCAGATTAAGTATCTTCTTTAGATCACTTAACCATTCTTTAAATTCACTACCATGCTCTCTTAAACAAAAGATGTGATCATCCATGTTACCTTTAGTATCTATAATAAACTTTTTAATCATCTTAAAGCATCAATTCATCAGCTTTAATGGAAGAAAGTAGCCTAGAAGAAGCTTATACTTAGTGCTCTCCATGCAGCAAAGGAGAAGCTATCTATCTACTATAGGGAAACAGATAAGATCTATGGTGATCTATTTATAATTAGGACAATCCTTGCACCATAAAATAAGCTTTAGTTCTTTAGTAGTAAGGATTAGGGCCTTGAATTATGTGATTAATATTGCAAAAGCTTTAAAACCTATGCAGGTCTCTATAAGGAATGCTTGTTAGCTACACAGGGCTTACTACAGGTATCATCTTTGGGTGTATAAATATCAAAGATTAATGTGCTTTTTGCTCCTGATTTTAATTAATTAGTGAGTACTAATAAGACTACACAGTACCTTAAGAGTGGTAAGTAATATTAATATTCCTGCTAACACTCTACTAATTAATATCATCTAATAGAGACAGCCCTAATTACTCTACTAGACTGGTTAAACCCAACCCGGGAACCCTAACCCAACCCAGCCCTAACCCGCCATGGGCCGGGTTTGGGTTCAGGTTCTAGGGCCCGTGGGTCGGTTGGGTTCTAATTCTTAGAACCCGCTAAGGGTTGGGTTCTAAAAACGGGTTTTAATTACAATACCTAGTAATTAGAATACACTAACCTAGGTTAGATTTCTATGTAGAATGCATTATTTATATATATATATTTTGAATGCTAGTATAGATGCTAGTATGGTATAGAAAAATTAAATACATACTAACTAGATTAGGTAGGCGGAGTGTAGAATTTTCGGTAGAATAGAACCCGCTGGGTTGACTATCTAGAACCCGCCGGGTTATGGGCCGGGTTTAGGCCCTAGAAATCTAGAACCTGAACCCGGCGGGTTGGGTTCAAAAGATCAGAGAACCCGGCCCAACCCGCAAAAATAACAACCCTATACTCTACAGACATTCTGGAAAGAGCATGAATATAAATTTCCAGCTCTTGCAAAAATAGTATATAATGTACTCTTAATACCTGCCACTAGTGCTGGTATTAAGTGGCTTTTTAATTCTGCTCAAGATATCTGCCATTATTGTCAAGGCTCACTCAATTCTATGATAATCTAAGATCTAATGCTATTCATGTGTACATTAAGGTTTGAAGTAGAAGAGAAGGAACTTTCCCTTATAAAATAATATCTTTTAAATGAGGAACAGCAAGCCCTTAATAAAGAGAAAGATGCTTAACAGCTTCAAGATACCCTTGAGCTAATTAGTAATAATGAAGAAGATGATGGCCTAGAGATTAGTATAGACTAGCCAGCTACCCAGCAGGTATCTAAGCATGCACAGGGTAAGAGATAAAGGAGTATAGTATCTAATGATAAGCAAGAGGGCCAGGAACCTTTTCTATTAGATAATGAAGTAGTTCTTCCCTTACCTAACACATAATAGCATATCTTTAGACAAAATCAGAAGCATATAAGGCGTGAGGATGATCAGTTCCTTCATTATTAGTTATTAGTATCATGGGCTAACCTATGACA